TTCAAGCCAATAAAATGTATATGTAATGGGAATGTTTTAAGAAGAAAAAGTATTCTGCATCCGATTCGAAAAAAACTTTAGCTTTAGTATGGCATCGAGTCGCGTCGAGAGTTATTTATTGTGGCCCATATATCAAAATGTCTGTTAACGATCTTAATACCTCTAATAAATCCAATGCACGCCGCTCGGGCCTCCGGTCTCTAAGGAATGTCGCTTCTCTGCAATAAAATGCTTATAAATAGAATCGCTCCAAGTGTTGTAAATGGCCAAGATACAGAAATAGTTGGCCAGGAGAAACCTCTGCGGAGCTTAGCTCATCGCATTCCGATTCCTTGGCTTGAACTGTGCCGATATTGTTTAAAATGCGGCACGTATCCAGAGGAGAGTGGCCAAGAGAAAGAGAAACAGCCGAAAGCCGCTCGCAGATACACTCGGATACAGAAACCGAAGCAGAAACAGCAAAAGATACACTAACAGATACAGATACAGATACACTAACAGATACAGATACAGATACAGACTGGCTGCAGACGCTAGACGGCGGTAAATGTGTCTCCGTTTCTTGAAATGAAAAAATTTCACAATCCCGGATACGCATCGGAATGTGGCCGGTGGCACTAACCGGGAAAGTCGCCGGGCGAAAGGGGGGTTTTGGCCATAAAGCCGCGCTCTGCAGACCACTCCACTCCACACCACACAGATGCAGATACAAATACAGATAGAGGTGCAGATACAGATACAGCTGCATCTGTGGGCCAAGAGAAAAGAGCCGCAATTGCCGCAATAGAGAAACACGAAAAAAGCGGTAGAAAAATCACCGGAGGCTCTTTCCATGCACTTTCCATTGTACTCTTGGCCAGGTGATGTGGGCTGGGTCGGGATTTCGATTTGGATTTGGATGTGGATTGGGATTTGTATTTGGGCTCGGCTTTGGGTTGGCCTTCACTCGGCCACGTTGTGGTGCGACTCGCTTCCTCCGCCGATTTCCCACGGAGATTATATCACCAGCGGCGCTCACTCGGATCCTGATTCCGAATTGTTCCGGAAAGTAAGAGGAAATTGCCTGGAGATACTCGTACTTTTCTTTTTTCGAAGTGCGTAAATTGAGACAGGAGATGGCCGGAACTTCACCCTTGCATTATATTCAAATTTATTGTAATTTGTACTGCCCTGCAGTCTCATTTGGAGAAAGCGGACCTAAGTACGATGATTGGGAAACGCCGCCGAATAAAAGCAATTAAAAAAGAGTGTAAGAGCAAAAGGCAGGGGCCAAAGAAAACCTTGTTAATGATCGAGTTGAAACTGTTTTGAGACCCCTGTGAAAATCCTGTTAGCCAAGGGGAAAACAAAGGCAAACTGGGCATAAATTACGGAGGAACAACGCCACTTGAAGTTTGTTTTCGCATCGTGTTCGATCGTGTTTCCCTGCCAGTCAGTCAACATGCAGATGTGTCTCCCGGATCCTCGTCCTTTGTCCTTTTGTGCTCTTCCCATTTCGCTACAATAAACATGCCCGAGGGCAGGCAGCCAACAGACAACTAATTAAATTTTCTATGGTATGAATGCGCTTTTGTCGCATTAGCCCCGCGATCCAGAAGCCAGACCCAAACCCTAAACCCTTAAAGCCCAAACCCAACCGAACTGAAACTGAACCGAACCGAACCGATCGGATCCTCGGCGGAGAAGAAGTCTTATTAAGTTGCCATTACCTCGGCGACTCAGGTAGGAAGTAGGGCGCGCCATTCATATTCATAAGCCCATTGCCACCGCCATCAATAGCTCGTAAAAGTGTGTGAAACCGGGAGGCACTGGGAAACTCCGGGAGGGAGGGTGCCCGAAGGTCCCCGCCTGCCTTTGGTCGATCCAATTCCGTTCAGGGTGGTTGCCCCCTATATCTTGTGCCATATCTCCTCGCGAGAAGAGCAGTAGCACACGTGTTCGTCATTTGTTTGTTGCCTGTTGCTAGGCCGAGTACCCTGAATACCCACCCCATCCTAAGATATTACCCCCTCCCCCCTCTTAACCCCCTTCACCCCTCCCCCTCGCAACTCCTCTCTAAGCCTTTGTGGTAGTTTTGCCAAAAAATACAACGAAATGAGATCACTGACAACTGGAAAGTCGAGAACTTGCGTTAAACTTTGGCCAACCGAGTTGTTGCTTTCTGTCCGTCTCGTTGCTCTGTTGTTGGTTGTACTTGTTGTTGTTGTTATTGGCTGTAGTTGTTGTTTTAGTGGCCGCTTCCCAGTGCCTCCTGTTGGTGAGAAACTTATGCCGAAACGCCGCACATGCGCGTGTACTCCACTTACTGCTGAAACGACCGAGAATCGTACTCGAATTCAAGCCGAGAATCGTACGGGACTCCGCCTCACTGCCCAAAAAACTAGCCACTACTCACTCATGGAATAATTTTATTTCAAAGAGATAAAAATTCTATTAATCAAATAACTTTAAAACGTAATACCCTAATTTCTTATCAGCTTTTACAGAATATTTTACTAAAAGTTCTCAGGAGAGATATTTAAAGTACAAGCTCTCCTCATATTCAATTTCAAACGAGTGCCTCAATAAGAACTATTTAATTTCAAACCATTATTATGCTAGATAGCAGTTTTAAGTACGTATTTATTTCATAATCACTACTAATATTTCTCAGTGCTTTGTCGCCGAGGCAAAGTACTCAAAAGTCCACCCAGATAGCCAAAGCCAGGCACTCGAGTGTGATGAATTTATGTGTGTAGCGCCAACTGGGGATCGCGCATAGAAAAGTTTAGATAATTGGCTAATTATATGTTCATGTGCGTTATGAATTTCATTTTCCATATCTCCAATTTATGAATTGAAAAACGTTCAGTCGCCATCGGGCCATGCGGGTTCTGCCAGGCGAAAAACGGCACGAAAACTAAATTGCTTAATTTGTGATAAACGTTTATGGTGGCCCGGGCGGAGTGCAAGTCCAAGTCGGTCGCCGTCGGATCAGGGCCATGTGAAAAGTGCAGCACTTTCACTGCTTTCCCATTTCCCCGCCCCGAATTCGAATTGAAGTGCCCTGGCGAAGAGTCGAGGTTCGTTTGGGGTGGCCCCTTCCCACAGAATTCAGAATACAGAACTCAGAACCTAGATGCTTATCGGGCGAAAACATTAATGCGGAAAATTGGTTTTATTAAGATGGATAACCGAAATTTACATTTAATCTAACGGAGAAAATTCTATTCGTTCCATGCGCGAACATTTTGGTGTGGGAACTTTTGAGAAGTGGCTTAAATATTTGAGGAAGTGTTTTGGAATTTAAAATCAAAATAAACTATTTTAACTATTAACTCAAGACATGATTTAATATTGTAAGGGTTTTTTTAAATTTTGATTACAACGAATTGGTGCTTAGGGAAGTGAACCTTATAATAGCTTTTTCATTTGGTAATCTTCTCAACTGAAAATCGAGAACTGTTCCGAAACCCAGCTCGATTAAATTGGTACGAATATAGCGTTCGGGCCAGACCCCCCAAAACCTTAACCCCACCAGCCCCACGATTCCCGCGCCGAACTGATAATGCCGATGCCATAACATAACGCTCGCTGTTTAATGTCGCATGTACGCAGGGCTTTCTATATAGCCAGGCGGCACTATATTATATATGTACATAACTGTCGGAGCGACCACGTCCACTTCGAGACTTCTCCGCTCCGTCTGCGTCTTCTCCTCCGTCTCCTCCTCCACCTCCTCCACCTCCTCCTTCTCTTTCAGTTTCAGTTTCTGATTTGTTTCTGTTTCTGTTTCTGTGACTGTGCAAATTATTGTCGCTCACATAAAATTATTGCAGGCCAGCGCCATCCAGAGGCGAGCGGTCGTCGGAAGTTCAACTAACTCATTTCCGGTTGTGTCGGCCGGATCATCAATGTGTGTGTGTGTGCGCCGAGAATCTGGAAATATTTGTACATACGCCCTGTGTGCGGTATGCATGGTCTTATATAGCATACGGCATATAGCATATATGGCACATCGAGTGGGCTCTTCTGCCTTTGCAATTCGATCTTAACGATGATAACCTAAAAAGTAACCGGCATGTAATAATCTTATAATCTATCTGTATATACATTTTCATGGGTATTCAGAGTAAATCAAATTGTTCAAAAGTGATTGCCCAACAGAGCTCATCAGATAGAACTGAACAAACACCTCTGTCGATAATCAAAAACCCCCTAAGATAAACCCAATCAAAGTGCTGGTGGAAACCCAATCTGGGTTAAAGCTCTGAAGCTTTCGATCCATTCATGCATTCCGTTCATTGAGAACCAGCAGCAGGCGCATTTCATTGAGAGACTCGTTGCGGCGCAAATACATTCGTAATTAGTTGTAAACGAAACATGTTGAGGTTGTTTTTAGCTTATTGGGCACATGCACTTAACACTTCAGATTTGAAAGGAATTTGGGTCACCGAAAAGCTGATTCAATTGCCCCACTCAAGAAATCCGGTTATCTACAGTTCTTTGCAAAGAAATTGTGTTTCACTGAAATTTCATGAAGCTCAAAAAACGTCCGTTAGAAATCGATGTAAAATTTGAAAATATCTACACAGATGTAAGCAAGCAGTGCAAAGGGATGCCGGACTGTGGGTAATAGGATGGTGCTCTGCTAGTATGTTATCCGGCATTTAGTATATTTTTTGATTTGAATAATTTTAGTCTACTTACTTAACTGTTCATATTAATACAAATTCAAGCGTTTCCCACAATTGTGTTAGTAGTAATAAGATATTCTTAAAGTTTGTAGATAGAATTTCAAATTAATTTCTAAAAATTGGTTACTTCTACCTTGCCCCATTGACTTTCGATTAGAGTGTTATAGTTTTAAAGGCCTTTTTTAACTAAAACAATTTTTGAATTAAAAATTTTGAATATCGATAGCCAGCCAGGGACTGCGAGTCAACCTTCCAGCTCTGTGGATGTGGCAACGCTGGTTGGGCTGAATACCGTGGCAACTTTGCTACTTTGTTTACTTATTGATAATACAATTTTCAGAGCGAACGAAGAGCACCTGAGAATTGCATAAATGGGCATTAAATCGGTAGCCAAAGGTCATTGCTGATAAGAATGCACTTCGAGGGTGACCCCGACAATCTGTCAAGAAGGTAATTCCACAGCAAGCACTTAGAGCCGAGTGACGGATGAGCAACCGAAACCCAATAACAACCCAAAACTGATAAGAAGCACGACCGCGGAGAACGGAGAACAAGTTAAATAGGCTCCGTGGAGAGCTAAACGCTCAGTTGGCAAGCAAGCGCGGAGCAAAACAGACGTACGAAAACACAGATGCATGAATGAGAGTGCCAGAAACGGGTTAAGAAACGTTAACACTCAACGGTCAGCGATCTTTGGCATCATCTTCATCTGCAATCTCGTCCGAGATCGGGCGTTTTTAGGCATCGGAATCCGAAGAGTTTCAAGGGCAACGCTCGCCTTTTAACCAATCTGAATCACTAGACGGGGAATCTTCAATTTACTTTTGAGAAATCACCTGTAAAGCAGGTGAGTTAGGCGGTTTTTGCCAGACAGACAGGTAATTCGCACGCCTGTAGAACGGTTTTTTGGTGACGTCAATAAGAATTCCGCTGTCGTGTGGCCTAATTTCGTGTGTATAATTAAATGTGCCCTTCCGCCTGCTTTAGGATGGCCCCACCCACCGTTTTGGTCACCGGAGGAGCCGGCTACATTGGCTCCCACACGGTTCTGGAGATGCTGAACGCGGGCTACAACGTCATCTGCGTGGACAACCTGTGCAACGCCTACAGCAGCGGAGCCAAACTGCCGGAGGCCCTGAGCCGCGTGCAGGAAATAACCGGCAAGAAGGTCAACTTCTACCGCGTGGACATCACGGACAGGGAGCAAGTGCGCTCCGTCTTCCAGGAGGTGAGACTCGGGAGGATGGTCACGTCAGCAGTTCGGGGCTTCCATGCTCTACACTGCGTATAAACGTGCCAACTGGATACCATTCAATCAGCCTTATCTGGCATGCGCGCTATCAGCTTTTTCTCGTTTGCGCTTGTTTTGTTTGCTCAAGTGGTCGGGCACTTCCGACGAAACCGCGCCGATCGACCCTGAACAAAAGACCCACTTTGCGGGGTCGGAATCGAGTTGGCGCGCTGGCATCCACTTCCACAATTGTGCCCGAGCACGTACGCTGCAATCGAGAAGATGCCGCTAAAGGCCAAAGAACTCGGGAATAGCATAGACACCCATGTTAACATGGTGCCTACAAGATTTCGCTATGATCGCTAATGGGAAATTGGGCAGGTTTTCACGTACCCAACTCGCAAGATATTTGCTAAAAGGGGGTTTTACCCATTTCTTACTATTTATCTATAAAATTTTTGTTTATATTCGTTAAGGCCACTAAAAAGCATGTTTTTTCCAATCAGCCAAGAGCTTTAAAAATTCAAAGCTTATGTTGTTGCCTAATTGCTTTGTTTATTTTCTATACAGAAGTCGGAGCTTGACAACCATTATTGCACACATATTTATAACCGGCCATAGATAATCATATTCACGCGTACTGATTACTAAATAGATTTGGTGCAAATCGCCATAGTGGAATTATTTCTTATCAGCCATAACAAAGTTATTTATAAAACATTTATTTGCTACATATTAACCTTCGATCAATAGTAGACTAATATTGCCATGAAATCATTTATGAGGTTTTAAACTAGTTCTTACTCATAACAAAAATTTGGAAGTTATTTTTATGAAAAGAAAGTAATCAAATTTGTTTTTAGTAAGATTATACCTTTGATAGAAACATTACATTCTCATTAGTATTATAGGGAATTACCTTTGGAACTTCTGTAACTAATCGAAATACTCTTTTTTTTAGCACAAAATCGACATGGTGGCCCACTTTGCCGCCCTAAAGGCCGTTGGAGAGTCCTGCCGCATCCCTCTGCAGTACTACCACAACAACATGACCGGCACGAATGTCCTGCTAGAGGCGATGGCCGACAACAATGTGTTCAAGTTCGTCTACAGCTCCAGTGCCACCGTCTACGGAGAGCCCAAATTCCTGCCCGTGACCGAGGAGCACCCCACGGGCAACTGCACATCGCCCTACGGCAAGACCAAATACTTTACCGAGGAGATTCTGAAGGACCTGTGCAAGTCAGACAAGGTGCGTTGTAGTTTTCATGGAGTATTTGTTAAACATCGTTAAATGGATCCTAATTGCTGTTTCAGCGGTGGGCCGTGGTCTCGCTGCGCTACTTCAATCCGGTGGGCGCCCACATCAGCGGGCGGATTGGCGAGGATCCCAACGGCGAGCCAAACAACCTGATGCCCTACATCGCCCAGGTGGCCGTGGGCCGACGTCCCAGCCTGAGCGTCTACGGCAGCGACTTCCCCACGCACGACGGCACCGGAGTGCGCGACTACATCCACATCGTGGACCTGGCCGAGGGCCATGTGAAGGCGCTGGACAAGCTGCGCAACATCGCGGAGACGGGCTTCTTTGCCTACAACCTGGGCACCGGGGTGGGCTACTCGGTGCTGGATATGGTGAAGGCGTTCGAGAAGGCCTCCGGCAAGAAGGTGAACTACACGCTGGTGGACCGACGGTCTGGCGATGTGGCCACCTGCTACGCGGACGCCACGCTGGCGGATCAGAAACTGGGCTGGAAGGCGGTCAGGGGCATAGACAAAATGTGCGAGGACACGTGGCGCTGGCAGAGCCAGAACCCCAACGGATATGCCAACAAGTAGAGCAGTCCTGCCCCGATCCTGCCCCTCTGCAAGTTCCTGAGTTACTACACCCTCCTGACGGCTCAGGTAGCAATTTCTATTCGCCTCTAGTTGTGTATATTCTTTCCAAATTTCGTGTAGTATTCCATATTTTCGATGTGTGCAAGTGTGTGTATGTAAATCCAAAGTACTTTGTAATTAAAAAAGGCTTTTCGCTGTTGTCATGTAATTCCCGGCTCATTTTCTGTGTTTAGTGACCGCTGGCATCGTTAGTTGGCGTCGAATCGCGGCGATTGACGCAATAACGTAATTAAGGTCGCTGCCAAGGTGGCAGACGTTGCTACTGGGAGATTGTACTTAGCAATAGGGCATTTTCACCTGGGATTAAATAAAACGAGCGAGTTAGTCAATTGTTTGTCGGTTATCAATCTGTATTGGATTGACTTTGTAAACAGTAAGCTGATATAGAGCATTCAGTAAACAACTTCAATAAAACACTGATCAAAAACATGTAATTTGCAAACATTTATTCAAATGCAATCAAACATTAAAAACTCAATTTTAAAACTTAAGTATTGCGCTTTCGACGCACATATCTGCACAGTTAGTCATTTATCACAAGTATATACTATGAATGTATGTTTGTTTCAACAACTTTGCGTTCGTTTGCTTCGGATTGTTTTTGGAATGGTCTGCACATATAAAAGTACAAAATTGTTTATATTCGAGTCTGGTGATTGTGGATTTGTTTGTTTATATCGGTATTTGGCAATCTGTTTTCTGCTCTGGGGCTTGGCGATTCGGAGGCAAAGAAATCGAATTCAACAAGAAGCATTGCTAGGTGCTACATTTACGGCTGGCTATATGTGTGCGCGATATGCATACGTTATGAATATATATTTAATACGATGTATCTAAGTATTGGGATAGGTTCAATGGGGGGAAGAGATCCTTAGCCAAGAAAGGCAGTGGAGAGAGTAGTTGAGATGCCGCTTAAATTATGCGGGAGTCGCTGGAGACTCTGCTCCTAGATACAATTATGTGGAGGTGACGCCCTTGCGAGCTACCAGCATATTCAGTATGGGGTTTTTGCGGATGTAGCTCACGGCCTTTTTATGGGTGACCATGGTGAAGTCGTAGCCGTTGCACTGCAGGATCTTGTCGTGGATCCGCAGACCGGCTCGAGCAGCTGGGCTGCCCTCGTGCACTTCAGTCACATAGATTCCCTAGTTAAATCCAAAGAAACAGATCTGTTAAAGAACACATTTTTCAGAAATTTGAAAGATATTCTCACATAATCCGTGTATCCTTGGGGACTCTTTTTGTAGTCCTGATCGATTCCCCCGCCAATCTTAAATCCGCACTTCAGAATCTCACGCCCCTCCTGATCGTAATCCTTCTCCTTGTGCAGCGTGATGGGAATCTGGGAGTCACAAAACAGGTATGTAAATCTATTGTTAAAATATGATAGTGGTTTCTATTTTTCTTTTGCTCCAGCGACCCAATTCCACCAATACACACAAAGACCGCGCTGGCGACTGTGTGCGTGTGAGCCAGGTTTAATTCATTCACAACTCACGCTCAAGCACTCCATCGCCGTGCCGGCCTGGTGTTGAAATGCCATTTTCGCCATGTCTGCAGATGTTTTGAATAACTTTGGTTTGCTAAACAAAATTATTTCCAACTGATAAATTCGGGATAAAAATCTCGTTGTCGCCCACAACAAATTCTGCTTCTTCTTAGCAAGCGTAAATGCGTAATGGTGTTGGAAAACACGGAAATGTATGTATACAAATCATCTGTGGCGAAGTTTTACCCATGGTCGTAGTTAAAGGGGTTTTACGGTTTTCGAACTTTTGTAGCTGCTTACGTTTGCTTTAGTAAGCTATTACAGTTCCCTTAAAACAAAACCAATCATTTTCTCGTTGGCAATGTTTCTTTTATTTATAACATATCTATAATTTATTAACCTAGGATCGCCGCATGGCCAGCATTGTGTTGATCTCCCAGATAATGATCCGTGTCCTGTCGATGATCTCGCGCAGCTGCCGATTCTTAAGCTTCACAGTCTCTATAAGCTCATGATTCTCCTGGAGGACCTTTCGGTATTCATCGCACTGCGAGGGCTCGATTCTCGGTTCCGGCTCATCCCGATAGGGAATCAGGCTCTCCGCACTCATGTAATCCATACCAGCGTCGTTGCACTTTTCGTAGATGATTCGGACTCTTTTAAAAAGTAGCCTGATGGTGCGGAAATATTCCTGGACCTTTTTCTCCGTGTTATTGTCTCTATGGGAGGTCGGCTGGATGTTCTTCAAAGAGGCGAAGACCTCCTGGAAGCGCGAGGCGATGTCCTGCACGGTTTCCTGACCCAACCGCGAGAGCTGAACAATGTTGATCTCCTTGTGGGGATTTTGCTGGGAAATAGCCAGCATATTGTTGTTGCCACCGGCGCCACCAGGAGGAATTCCACCGCCAGGATTTAATTGCTGCTGCTGTTGTGGAATGTTCTGCTGCGGCATGTTCTGCTGCGGTTGCTGCTGTTGGGGCACCACTCCCCCTCCTCCCATGCCCACGCCGCCGCCCATTCCCACGCCCACTCCGACTCCAACACCTACTCCTTGCTGGGGTACCATCATTTGCTGCTGCATCATCTGCTGCTGCTGCTGTTGCATAGGATGTTGCGGCGACATGCCGGGCATCAGGCCACCGGGACCTCCAGGTCCTTGCGGATTCATCTGCATTCCACCGGGTCCACCCATCATTCCCATTTGTTGTTGCTGCTGTTGCTGATGTTGCGGCGACATGTGCATCTGCTGCATGTTGCCGTGCTGCATGCCGAATCCTCCCATTGGCATCATGTTGGGGCCACCACCTCCTCCGCCGGCGCCAGCAGGACCCTGGTTGCCTTGGTTTTGTCCGTATTTCCACATTTTGCAATTGTATCAAAAACAAACAAAAATTTCCGCAAGCGTAAGAACAAAACGGTGCTGGAAAACTTGAAAAGCCTATTAAAGCAAACAGCTGTGAGAAGTTAGAGCCATATTTTGCAACACTGCAGAGGCAAGAAAGTTGCCAGATGGCGCTAGAACAGTAAGCGCGAAACTGACAGCTGATTGTGATTTGGGGGAATTTAATTTTCTTGCATGCTTTTATAAGCCCATTATAAATGGCTCGCGACGATGATAATGGTTTCAGTGAATGGGTAAGCTTCTTATTAAAGTGTATATTAAGACCATTAAAAACCAGAGAATTCTGATTTTAAGGGCGGCTACTTTGAGGCCAAGAAAGCTAAGTTGGAGGAGCAGTTTGCCGCCGCAAGCGATCCATTTCGCAAGTCGGACTTGTTTCAGGGAATTTCGATATTCGTAAATGGCCTGACAAACCCATCGGCGGATGAGTTGAAGCGCATCATGATGGTGCACGGTGGGACCTTCCACCATTACGAAAGAAGCCACACGACCTATGTTATCGCCTCCGTTGTGCCGGATGTCAAGGTCAGGAACATGAATCTCAGCAAGTTCATAAGCGCCAAGTGGGTGGTAGATTGCCTGGAGAAACAAAGGATTCTAGATTACAAGCCCTATCTGCTGTACACCAACCAAAAGACCTCACAGCCAAGACTTAACTTTGGGAAATTCAAAGATAGTAGTATAAAGGAGACCGTAAGAGAGGAAGACGTCCCCGATGATGAGTTTGACTTGCAGCTGCTCGGGGTTCTTAAGGAGCTACAGCAGGCAGTGGCCACTTCACCGGAAAAGGAGGCCAAGAGCATCAGTTTATCCGAGACAAAGATCACAAATTTATCAGCATCCAGTAGTTCCAATGTTGCTCGTACTGCAGCAGATCCCAATTTCTTAAGTGAGTTCTACAAGAACTCCCGTCTGCACCACATCGCCACTTTGGGAGCTGGCTTCAAGCAGTATGTCTGTGAGCTGCGTCAGGAACATGGCGCCAAAGGTTTCCCCAAGAGGGAGGAACTCAAATCCCTCGAGAAACTTCTTGGAACAGGATCAGATCGGTTTGTAATGCACATCGACATGGACTGCTTCTTTGTATCCGTGGGGTTGCGGTCTCATCCTGAGCTCCGAGGGCTGCCGATTGCGGTGACCCACTCGAAAGGCGGAAGTGCAGCCACCGACGTGCCCGTGCATCCGCAGGCGGACAGAAAGGCAGAGCTGGAGCTCTTCGCACAGCGCTTCGAGCATCATTTGCACGATAACATAAAGGCTGACAAGGTTCGCTCAGGCTTTGACAAGAAGATGTCGCTGTCAGAGATAGCGTCCTGCAGCTATGAGGCTCGTGCGAAGGGCATCCGGAACGGAATGTTCGTGGGTCAGGCCCTTAAACTGTGTCCCGAGCTGAAAACCATTCCCTACGACTTTGACGGCTACAAAGAGGTGGCCTTTACTCTGTACAATACAGTGGCGCAGTACACTTTGAACATAGAGGCTGTAAGTTGCGATGAGATGTTTGTGGAGCTGACTGATTTGGTGAACGAGCTGAAGGTGGATGTGATGGCTTTCGTGGGGCATCTCAGGAAGGAAGTGCACGCCAAGACGGGATGTCCCTGTTCTGCGGGAGTCTCGGGCAATAAGTGGGTAAAAAAATAATAGTGACTTAAAATCATATTAACCAAATTTTTAAGATTGCTGGCCCGCATGGCAACTAAGAAGGCTAAGCCGAACGGTCAGTTCTTGCTGGACTCCAAGCAGGATATTTTGGCCTATATGGCGCCCATGTCTCTGGACTCGCTGCCAGGAGTAGGCAGCAGCATGAGTCACAAGCTCAAACAAGCGGGCTTGAACAACTGTGGAGATGTTCAGAACACGTCGTTGGAGAAGCTGGAGTCGGTGCTGGGCAAGAAACTTGGACAAAACTTATTCCAGAACTGCAGAGGAATCGATGACCGCCCCTTGGCCTATGAGCAGGTTGGTTGTGCAACAGAGTTTTGTTGTTATTAAATCCATTTATTAATTTTTAGGCCCGCAAAACGGTTTCTGCTGAGGTAAACTTCGGCATTCGCTTTACCAATTCCGCAGATTGCGAGAAATTTCTGCGCCAGCTCAGCGACGAGGTTACCAAGCGTCTTACTGAGATCAAGCGCAAGGCCAGGTCTATCAATCTAAAGATCATGGTGCGTGCCGCGGAAGCGCCAGTCGAAACATCAAAGTACATGGGCCACGGAGTGTGCGACATCGTCAATAAGTCCTCGATGATCAAACATGCCACGGATGATGTAAATGTGATCACCTCGCAAGTATTAAACCTGATGAAAGAAGCCGCTCTGCCGCCCCACGAGCTGCGCGGAATTGGCATACACCTAACTAAGCTGGAGGATGCCACCGAAGTTAAAAAGGACAGCATCCTGAAGCAGATGTTCGTCAAGATGTCAGAGACGAAGAAAGGTATTCAAAGCAACCGTATTGTACATAATCTAAACAGCGAAGTTAACGCACGCTTTATTATTTGCAGATCAATCTTTATCGGTGAAACCTCCCACAGAAGCAAAATCTAACCCTAGGGAACCCACAAACGTGATGACCATGTTAACGGCTGCAGCGGTGGGCAGGAAGTCTCTAATCGGGGATAGTGGTAAAACCACGGAACGATCGGCAGGGGAAAAACCACCAACAGATGACGTTAAACCAAAGCCTCGTGAGTCAAGGAATGTGATGACTATGCTGGCGGCAGCAGCGGAGGGCAGGCAGTCCTCCAACGAAGTTAAATTTCCCAGTGATGCTGTAAAACCGAGTAAGCCGCCATCACCCAGTGGTCCGGAGCTCGATCAGGATATTCTAGCTCAGTTGCCGGAGGATATACGACTAGAGATCCTTTCCCACAAGGAAGAATATCTGCGCATATCCGAAACTGATGAAAACGCTCCTCCCAAGGCAGCTCCAGCTCGAACTCCAACGCTCCGTTCGCCGCCGTTAACAAAACGTAACCGCTCGCCAGTCAGTCCCTTGAATGCTAGCGATCTCAGACCATCTACTTCGCGAGAAGCTCAGGAGCGTCTGCAAATGCGCACGGTTCGCAAGGAAAATGAGCTGCGCGTTAGACCAGATCAGATCGTGGCGGACTATATCAAGGAGCTGCCCAAGCACACGCACCCTGCCATTCTGGACTACATCACCAGGCCAGCCAACGAAGTGCCCAATTTGCTGATGGGAGAAAATTACAAGAGCCTGCTGAATGAATGGGTCAGCTTGGAGGAAGTGCCCAAGCCGCCGGACGTGGAACTAATTCACCGACAGATAACGCACATGATCAAGAGCGACAATTTGGATCACATGTACGATGTGATGAAGTATTTCTGCCGGTATTTACATGATCTTAAGCTGATTATACTTCTGTAATCGAATTTATTATCCTTTTCATACAGCATCATCAATTCAAAGCGGAGCAGCTCGTGTTGCTGGCACTTGGCCTATAAGCACATCGAGGAGAACCTTCAGAACCAGATGCTGGAGCACGACGGCTACAACCTTTGCTTCACCCATGACATTCGCTGCCCAAAGTGTCTGCCATTCACTTAAGCACTTAATACGCTGGGTCACAAATTAAAAGCAAATTTAATACAAGCCATCTAATGTTATGCCTACAATGGTATACTTTAAATTGTTTTTAGTTCTAAAGAATAGGATCTCAAGCACTCAGTTCAGTTTAAAACAGGATAGAATCCTGCAAATATGATTTGAATATTATGTATTTCTGCTGAAAGAAAGTAATCCCTTTTTGTTTAATAAATATTGTTACCAAATGTTACTGTAGCATTTGCATTGGTTTTAATCGATTTCAGCTCTGAAAAGAAATGCCTCCGAGTAATTTACAACTCCAGTTGCGTCCAGGTAGCAATTAATGTTGCAAGAGCGGCAAATAATGTGCGGCTCTTGCTGCGATGGCGTTGATAACTTCATACGCTAAAGGGCAGAGCCCCCGTTTTCTGGCGGTGGCTTAAGCCGAGCTCACCGGTGGCTCTTTCCCAGCAAAGCCGGCCACTCAAGACAAATAGGCCAGGCGGGCCAACACCTGGCGGAACTGGCAAGTCATAATTTGCACTTTAATGAAAGCGGCATCGACTCGCCCCGAACAGGTTAGTGTTGAACAGTTCTCCAAAGTCACTGCAGTTAATCGCTGCGACGGCTGTAATATGTAATTGATTCGCATGCCTGCCCACTCCCCCCTCAGAGCTCCACGACTCCCGGCTCCAATCCTATCCGATCCGAACCCATCCCATCCCATCTGCAGCCCCATGACAAACCATAACAATTACAATGCCACTGCCAGGAAGCCAGAGATGGGAAACCTATCTGGGGGTATACCTGGGAATCTATTTTTAGAAAAAATATACATATGTAATATCTGAGAACAGGTGATTAATCTTATCTTAAAATATCTAAGAACTTAATCTCCTTAAATTAATAATTGATCAATATCTGAAGAATACGTAAGGGAAGAGTTTTAAGATCGCGTATCAGAGTATTTTCAACCTAGGTACCCATTTAATTTAGGACTCATATTAAAGCACATCTGCTGAAAAACATTCGCAACATTCTCATCTCTGAAGGCCACCCCACATTGGCTGGCAGCTGGAGCTCAAGATAGAGCAGATGTTGCCCGGTAATTAAAAATAGTCAAGCTGCATTTCTGGCTCAGCATCCGGTGGCGATGTGGCTGGTGTCTCTGTGGGATGGGACGGGATGCCATGGGCTGGACTGGGATCGGTCGGGATGGAATGGGATGGGATGCGATGGGATGGGCTGGAGCCGGCTCCCGGGATTTACATGAGCTACGCTTTGTCTGATTTAATTATGTGCGCAAAAGGCGTCGTTGTTTCATAAATTTTATGCATCCTGTCGTCGCGGAACTCGGTAGCAGCAACATGGGGCTCCAACTTGCCCCCTGTTGTAGTCGGGTAATCTGGCTCAGACCAGATGCAAATGTTGTCAAGTTTTGATAGACTTGTTGGCTGCCAACGCGATTTGTCAACGACTCCTCGGCGGCTGGCTTGGCGTGGTGCCAAGATTCTTGGAAGCGCTGAGTCTTCTTTTCTACCTGTGGATCTGTGAGGTTCCTACTCTTTTTAAAATGAGAAAAGAAATTTATAAATTTTCCTGTTGCAATATAGAAAACAACTTTAATAAATTAAAACTCGATACTATAAACCAGAGATCTTTATCTTTTATATTAACCTCTCATATCAAAAAATTTATCAAGAGTAGTAGTATTTAAATTTGTCTTGTTAAATGTATTTCTTTTTGTGAGATGTACATATGTAAGGGATTACTGAAGGCTACCTTCCAGCGCAGACTGATGGGTGAGTGTGAGTGCCTAGCAGCCAGTAGCAACATGAGGCCAAAACAAAATCGCAGCGTGTTGCCAGCTTTATTCCCACGCTCGTGAAGTCAACTGAACTGGCAACAGAAGCTGCCGGAGCAGCTGGAAACTGTCAACATTATCGGACGTGACTCTGCGCGACAAGATCACTGCCAGAGCCTTGCCTCATGCTCAGCTGGTTTGGTTGGGCCCTATGCCAAAGACATTGGCCACATGGAAATATATGCCGCGTTTCGGGGAGCTGCGCCTCCGATGCTGATAATGCCTGGGGTTTTCTGCTGCGGTTTCGGCTGCTACCAAATAAGTCGAGGCAGACGATTCGGATTTAGCCGCCAAAGCAGCAGCAGCTGAGGCTGAAGCTGCGGCTGAGGTTGGCTCTATGCAAAACTTCTAGCCAATTAACTTGGCCGGCGGCAGAGGAGAGACCCCAAGTCTCCGTTCCTGGTGCTGTGCCTTATGATTAGAATCGTCGACAGCAGGCCGCCAAACGGGCACAGCAGCAGCAACATCGGCAGCAGCAGCAGCAGAAACAGCAACTGCAACATCAGCAACTGCAACAGCAGCAACTGCAACATCAACCGCAAGCAACCAAAGCTAATGAACCATGTTGCCGCTGATGAACCCAAACTGATTAATGATGCCTCTCTGGGATGGCAAATGGAGTGGGGCAGCAGAGGCCCCTGCAACTGCGAAATCCGATGGGGTTACACACCCGAATCCCGATTCCCCCTGCCAAATCCCTGGGGCCCAGCTAACAACTTAACTAGTTCAGTGGTGGGCTTAGGGTTTACGATAAAAACAGTGAGAGAAACATTGGTAGATTTCTATATTTGGAAAAGGTTACCTACTAATTTAATGGTACGTTTAAAAAATCGAATAATTTTAACTATCAATTTAATTACTCTAAGAATAAGGTATTTGTTTCTTTAGCTTTGCAATTCTAAATACTATATATCTCAGTATTGTAAATTAAAGATTATATGTTCACCGTGCAGTTGTAGAAGTCCAGTCAATTTTCGGGCAGCTGAGTAAGGAGCTGACAAAACCCGGCGAGGCGACGGCGATGGCAATGGCAATGGCGATGCCCAATGGCCAATGGCCATGGCCGAAACAAAGGCCGCGCAGGCGCACCTGAGAATGTTGATAGCCCCCATGGACTCGCCGGAGTGGGAGTGGGAGTGGAGCCGCGATGGCCTGCAAGAGGATGGAACGGAGGGAGTCCAAGTGCAAGTCGTTTTTTATGCCACTCAAGCGGCGACAACAGGGACTGCAACAAGGGTCCAAAGATCCCGGCCCGCAGTGGAGGGGCAGAGGGAGCAGAGGGGAATAAACCCGGGCCAAAGCTCGTTTGTGCCGGGCCCTTTATCACATGCGCACATCATTTACTTGAAAAGGAGACAGGAGCAGGGACAGGGACAGGGACAGGGGGCAGCGCACTTCAGCAATTGCCTTTAAAGTGTTTGCGTCGTGACAAAATCAATGTTGGCCGTCTGTTGCTGTTGCTGTTGCTTCTGCTGCTGCCGATGCGATGTTGCTCTTGCTGTTGCGATGTTGCTGCTGCCGCTGCCGCTGAGATGTGGCTGCTGTGCTCCGAAGCAGCTGAAGCTCTGACAGCCTCCTCGCGGACAGTGATTCATGGTTTATTAAGCGCATTATGCCGCAGGACACTTTGAAGTTTCCAAGGAGGCGGAGTTGCACGTGTTGCGAGGCCCTTAAAAATGCGGCGATTGTTGCCTGGTTGCCGTTGGCCATGGCTTTAGACTCTTCGGCCTCTTGGCCGGGTTCTAAGTGGCTGCCGCGTTGCAGGGCCAGCAATTGATTACTTAACGTGTTTTATGCGTACGGCGAGTTATGTGTCGACTGCCGCGTTAATTTGCCTCAGCGGCCTTGGTCTAAACTAAACGTCCAAACAAATTGCCGCTCGGCAGGCGCTGGCCGTAAATCAGCGCAGCGGTCAAAACACATCAGCAGCATCAATGGCCAAATGGCCGGCGGGCCATGCGTTTGCACCACAATGCCGGCGATCGAGCTTCCCAGCCAAGAAGTGGCTGCCAAATTCCCAAGCCCTCCAGCTGCAGACTCCCACGTGAGGCGAGACTAATTTCAAACGGGGCGGTTCGAAAATCACCTCAAACGATAAGCCAGTCGGCGGAAAACTTAGAGTTGATGGCGTGAGGACCTCAAAACTTTATGGCTATGTCCTGGAAAAATTAGAAAAAAAGGAAAACATGAATATATATTTAAGAAAGTGTGAAAACATAGTAGCTAATTACTAGCTAATTATGACTTTGTTTGCTTTCATACAAGTTATGAAATTAATTAAACATTTTTTTGTTAATTAATCTAGTTCATTTTTTAATTGCCAGCTTGTAAACTTATTAAACCTAATTAAATCAAAAGCTTTCAGTGCTTAGTAGTCATATTCCTTATGATAATGGCTCAATTCCGAGTTATTAGATAATAGCTCAATTTGGCTCGTGTCACGCGACGAACTCTCGGTGCGGGACAACACGGCGTATGCGCAACGCTCGCATGTACAAACGGAATTAATTATGCGCCGCGTAAACAAATACAAAACGAATGGAAATTGAGTGCGAGATGAATTGCCAGGCGGAGATGTTGGCGGGCGATAAGGCATATAAACGGGGCTCTGATTTATGCTCGTGTTGCTGTTGCTGTTGTTGCTGTTGCTGCTGTTGCTGCTGCAGCCAAGTGTTGCTGCTGTGGCTGGCATTACGTATGCCAAAAATATGCAAATTGGCAATTGGAAGTGTGAACACCGCCAGTGGCAACAGCAACATCAGCAGCAGCAGCAGCAACAACAGCAGCAGCACCAACTTCCCCCTTGCAATATGCAATACCTATATGTGTGCACTTGCCATTAGAATGCCGCCGCCAATCGAAGCGTCAGAAATAAATTACAAAATCGTGTAAAGTGCAAACTGGACTCGGACATGGATGGTGGATGGTGGGTTTTTCTGCGCCGCATTTTGTCTTTTGACGTTTCGCCTGGTTCTCTAATCGCCTTTATGGCCACATAAATCTTGGCTAAAATTTGCCGTTGCCCGCCAATGGATTTCCTCTATTTATTTATATGTTTTTCAGCTGATTTTTCGCCTTTTCAATCGAACTGCAAACTGGTCCACGCTTTGATTTATTTCAGCCCCTCAGCGTAGCGAAAGATAACATTCTGCGCGCTTTCACGCATTTTTAATTACTCCCCCGCTCGCATACATATCGCATACTATATATATCCGATCGAAACCGAGCGATAGTGCCATGTCGTGTGCAGCCGGCCAGTTGCGGCTGAATCGCTCTGGCTGGGAAATATGCTAAGCGGGCCCCGCCCCTTTTCCCGGGGGTGGTGGGGGGTCAAACGCCCAGCTGTTGACGCCAGCTGACAGGTGCAATAGCTCTCTGCAAATTGC